TCCCCCATCCCCACCCTCCTCAGGGGCCCACCAGAGCACTTCGATGACCCGCAGGGCCCGAGCCACCGCCACCTCCAGCGACCTCACGTTGAGCAGGAGCCCGCTGCCGCCACTGCCCTTCTCCTTCTCTACCTCCTCCTCCTCCTCCACGTCCTTCGGGCGGCAGAAGCTGGGCCTGATGCAGCAGGTCCCCCTCGACAACCTGTGCGCATGCGCGTGTGCGTGTGTATGTGTGTGCCGGAATGTGCCGTACACCCAAGTACCCGATCTCAACCGAACCGCCAAAGTGGGGAGTTGCATCCAGAAGGAACCGTACAGTACTCCCTAGCGCTCTGTGCGGCGGGGAGCCGGGGAGCCGCCGCGATCGGTTGCTTCCAGATTGGGGAAAAGGGGGAGGAGGGCGGGGGAAAGAGAGAGAAAGAGAGAGCGAGAGAGAGCTCTTTGGCTGAAATCGTTCGGACCGTGCTTGGACTGTTAGTCTCAAAACATCTTCTGCAACTCCCGCACAGGGTCCAGAGGTTCACGGCAAATTCGCGCACGTACGCACGCACACACAGCCACACTGCTGGACTAGGTTCTTCGGGCACTTATTTGTTGCCGCTTCGTGTACCGCCCTCCTCCACCTCGCCATTTCCTTTCCTCGCGGCGACGAACAGTAAAACACACAGCCGCAAACACACACACGTACATACATACACACATACTCAAGCGCCGCTACCCACCTCGCACAGCGCGACCACCTTGTCATGCAGCTGCTGGATCCAGTGGGAAACGACCCGCGGGTCGGGACGATCACCGCGACATCCTGGCGGCGACAGCGATGGCAACACTCCCCCTTCAGCTCGAGCCTCAGCAGGAGCAGCAGCAGCAGCGGCGTCGCCGTTCTCTCCCAAGGTCAACTCACTCGAGAGCCAGTACGGCACGGCGGCAGCAGCGGCGGCGGCGGCATGGCCAGCCAGTTCTGCGGGAGCGCCGCCGTCTGCCAGCCGCCGCCTCCGCCGCTTCCACCGCTGGCCCTGCGAAGCATAGCCACCACCGCCATCCTGCGGCCGTTGCGGCACGGCATCATCATCATCATCCGCCGTCGTCGTCGTTGCCCTCGCACTCGCTGCTGCGATACCCCCTTGGCCTTGGTCGCCTGCGCGGGTTCATCAACGTAACAAGTCGTCCAGTGACCCATGGGCATCCCACGGGCGTCCATTCATCCGTCCATCCACCCGCCCACGCTTCAGCCAACCACTGAACAGGAAATCCCATCCCGAGGCTCCCCTGATGCCGGGTATCGTCCGGGTCATACATGAAAATGAGCTTTTACGAAACCTAGAACACGAAACACGTACACCAATTACTGGTATTACTAGCCTCGGACAGCTTTTATGGGATAACTACGATAAATTTAATGAGGAACCCCAGCATGCAGGATGAGCCCGAGCCGTTCGTTCGGGCTCCGATGTAACTAAACCCATTAAAGCCCTAATACTAATACTGCTAATGCTATATGATACCACTATATCACTAAATTCATTCCGGCACACCAGCCACCATGCGACACAGAGCACCACGTCCCAGGACCATACGCCGCCGAGCAGTCCTGTCTTCCTCGCCCATCCGCGCGGCGGCGCGCCGCAGCGAAGTAGTACGGATGTAAGCTGTCGTACAGTGCCGTGCGATGCAGTACTGATCCTTGAACGTCCTCTCCCCTCGTCCGCAGAATCGCTTAGCAGCAAACCGCTCCCCCATCCAGCACGAGGGCCGGAAAAAGCGCAAACACCAAGACATGGGGCCCCTCAGCCCTATGGAACAACTTCCTCCCTTCACCTTCATTTGTGAGTCCACCGAGTCCATTTTCAGCTCCTGCTGCTGTGGCCGCCTCCCTTCCAGCCGCTGCCACGACCACTTGCCACGGCCGCTTCCTGCTCCTTGGCGGCTGTTCCGCGTCGCAATGCCCTGCCCTCTCCATATCCCTCTCCCTCTCCTTGCAAGGCCGCCGTCCAGTGTCCCCGCCCTCCAATTCCTCCTCGTCCTCCTCCTCCTCCTCCGTCTCTTTCTTCTCCTCCTCTTCTTCTCGGCGGCCGCCGCGCCCGGGGTGAAGCTGCTGCTGCTGCTGCTGCTGCCGCCGCCGCCGCTTCTTTTCCCCCGTCTCCAACGCCTCCTCCTCCACCTGGCCACTGCTTTGCCCCTCCTTTCCCTTCGACAGCCTCCTTTGCCTTGCCCGGTCTTTGGCGGAGCATTTAGAGCACAGGTACCGGCCGAGCAGGTCGCGATGGGTCCGCCACTCCGGGGTCTGGCGCGCGCCGCACTCGACACACTCCCGCCCGCCCGCCGCCTCTAAGGAACGTGTGCCCGGCGGGCCGTAGAAGCCGAACATCGACCTGTTCTTCAGGCAACATCTGTTACAAGTGTACGCCAGTGTGCCGTGTGCGAAGAAGCCCCAGGCATGCCTGCAGCGGCCTTGGAAGGGCGTGTTACAGGTCGTACAAAGGACTTGGCTCGGCGCCTGCGATGGCAACTGCTGATGCTGATGCTGCCCTAAGCCTGGCGTTTGCTCCGCCTGACCAGGACGACGACTTGCCGCCGCCGCCCCCGCCGCCGCTTTTGTAACTACCGCCGCCGCGGACAGTGACGGCGGCGGCAACAAAGCAGCAGTAGCCGCCGCCGTCACTGTCTGCGCTACACCCCGCTCCAGGGGCTTGGCGGGGGGTGCCGTCGTCGCAGCGGCGGGGAACGCCGTTGCAGCTGCTGCTGGCGACGGGACCCCGAGCAGCAAGCGGGCTGCGTCAGTTGTCGCTGCTACTGCCGGCTGTTCACGGGACGCCGCCGCCGCAGCAGCAGCTGCAGCAGCAATAGCTCCTCTACCGCCGCCGCCGGAGCTAAGGCCCGGGGCATGCATGCGAAGTTGCGAGTGGGAGGAAAGGTGCGGCGGCTGTCCCCCCCCCGCCCCTCGGCGGCCAGTCACCTGAGCGCTGGTAAGTCGTACGGCAAGCGCCGCAATGGGAACGTTATCGCCATCGTCATCATTACCGGAAGAAGAGGAAGCGGACTTTTCCTCGGAAGCTCTTCTTTCCACATCGCCCTTGCCACTATCGTCACTATCGTCGATGAAGATGACCTCTACCTCCTCCTCCTCCTCCTCCGCCTCCTCCTCATGCTCCTTAGTTGTTGCTGCCGCGCTGAGCGCGCGAGCTCCAGCTAGCAACGCCCTTAGCTCTCCCCCCTCCCCCTCCCCCTCCCCCTCTCGGCTACTTCCCACCGCTCTCTCCGACACCCCACCGGTTGACGAACCGGGTTCCCCCGGTCCTTGATGCTGCTCCCGGCGGGCCACCCTCTGGCGCCCAGGTCGCCCGTGCTGCTGCGGCTGCCGGCGGGACGGCTGCTGCTTTAATGGCGTCGCCGCCGCCGTTGCGGTGCCGGCGGGTGGCCCATCCCAGCCGTCCTCCTCCTCCTCCTCCTCCTCCTCCTCCTCCTCCAGGAGCAGCCGATGCCGCTTAGCCCTCGTACTCGGTGGCTCATTCGCAACAGCGGCAGCAGCAGCAGCATCAGTAGTAGTAGTGCCAGGCGGGGAGAGCCCCTCCGCGGCCGCCCCGCGCCTCTTCCCCGGCTGCCTGCCCCGCGGTGTGGTCCGACCGGGCTTAGCCTTGGACCCGCCTTCAGCCACCAGGCCGCGAGACGATGCCTTCGGCAGCGGTGCTCTCGATGACTTGGGGTTGAAAGGGCGCGTTTCCGCCCGCAACTCAACGGCCCGCGGTGCTCGGTCTGTGCTCGCTCGCCTGGCAGCACGACCTCCGCCCGCTGCTGCGGAGCTCCCTGCAGCGACTGCCCCCCTGCCACCATACGACCCGTACCGATTCCACCTCCCATGGCACCGCACGCACACGTAAGCTCCTAGTACGGCAGCGTGAGCACTCCATTGTGAGCTCTCTGTCGTACGGCACTCCTGGCACTCCCTGCCCCCCGCCTGCTCCAGGGAGGATGTCCCCGGGGGTCCGTAGAACCCGAGCTTCTTCTTGTTCGCCAGGCAGCAGCTGTTGCAGGTGTAGGCGCGGGAGCCGCGCGCGAAGAAGCCGTTGGGTTGCCCGGGTCGGTCTCGGTGCGGGATGTCGCAGGAGGTGCAGCGGGGGGCAGAGGAGGGGGCGGCAGCGGGTCTGCCACCGTGCTGCTGCCCTTCCCCACCTTTCCGTTTCTCCGCTGCTGCTGGTGCTGCTGGTGCTGCTGCTACTTCCATCCCCGCCGCACCGACTGACGCTCCGGCTGGGAGCTGCGAGCACGTGCCGGTGCTCTGTTTCACGATGCGTGCGGCGGCACGTACGGCCGCAGCGCGAGGAGGTAGACTGGGAAAAAAGTCCCCCTGCTGCAGAGTCAGGGCGGATGCGAGCGGCGATGTTGTTGTCGTAAGGCGGCGCAGCCGTCCGTTGTTTTGGACCTTTCGGGGCCCCTGTTGCCTCAGCACAGACCCGTGCTCCGCAGCCGGTGTGCCCCCGATCCCGAACACGGCGGCCGCGGCCGGATCCGTCCCCCCGCGAGCACCGTGATCAGCGAGCGGCTGAGGCCGCCACTGTCCCACAGCCACTCCCTCGACCTCGACCTCGACCTCGCTCTGGTTGCCCTGTCCGCCGCAGTCTTGCTGCGCCTCCGCCTCCTGCCGTACTGGCCGGAGGTCGGCATCCCTCTGCTCCCTCAGCTCTCCGCCAACCCCCGGGTGGTCCTCCGCCTCCGCGCCCTCTTCATCCGCGCCCTCTTCCTCCGCGTCTTCCTCCTCGGTGTAATGACTGTCAGGCTGTGAATGGGACTCCTGCTGCAGCGGTTGCTGATGGAGCTGCAGTAGCTGCGACTGCTGCTGCTGAGGCGATGATGGTTGTGGCTGTAGCTGCGTCTGTGATAGATGTAGCTTCGGACATGCTGGCGGCGGCCGTAGAGGTCTCTGCGGCGGTGAAAAAGTCGGCTGCGGCAGTGGCAACCGTATCATCTGTCCCTGGAGCTGCTTTACTTCCACATACGGGGGCCTGTCGCTGTCATCACAGAGTTTCTCAGCCACCCCTCTACCAGATACAGTTCCGTTGAGGTTCAGCGGGGCATGGCTGTTAGCGACGCCGGGCACTGGGCATGGAGACTTGGAGGAGCCGGAGATGACTCTGTGCGCCTGTGCCCCTGCTGATTGCTGGGTTGGTGACATCGCTTCTACGAGATAGCAATTGTTATGAAGCAAGGTCGGTCGTTCTGCTGCTGCATCAACCTCCATACCGTTGTCTTGAGGCTTTCAGCGCGGCCGCATCAAGTATAGATCCCAAAGTGTGTAGTGTAACTTTTATTGAATGCCACAGCAGTCCGGAATGTCTCTAGGCATAGTGCATCCATTAGTGTATCGTACATGACAAAGCAAATGCACAGCACAGCATGCCATGTGATATGTGAAAAGCAGAAGCAAATTGTTGAAACAGGGAAAACAAAAATCAATTGGTATTTGCATTATTCTTCTTGGACTTATACAGGAAAGCCGAGTACGTTTTGGCGATGCTGCTGTCGTACTGCGTTCGTTGGAATGACCCTACAGTTGTGCCTCTTCCACAATTGCAGAGGTCATTTTGGATCATATCGAGGCTTTGGGATAAAGCTGCATACCTTAGTCTACGAAAGGACTAACACCACCCCACCTGAACCCACTATTAGGGCAGTTCGACCATTCATTTCCTATCCTGGTACAATCTCCCTTAAAGCCGGGACGTGCCATGTATGCCATGGACACATGTGATGTCAGCAAATCACTCTACGCCTTGTGACGAAAGCGATTCAGATTGCCATAACCCTCCATACTACTGCCGGTAAGCCATAAGAACCGGCGGCTTACGTGTGGTAGAACCCGTACATACAGTGTATATTGCGTGCACCTCGATATAGTGTATACGTGCACCTCGATTCTCTTAAAAGTTAATGCAGCGCACAGGTGGTAGTTCACTTGAAAGCCGCCTTGCACGCGCTTTGAAAGAGCGCCGTGCGAAGTTGCCGCGTTTTGATGGCACCGTGTCAATAGGCGTAGGCACATTTGCATTAAGTTGGTTTCTCGTCACGAAATGAGGGTGTTGTACATGCCGTAGTCGTGTACGGCGTGCGTTGGTAATACAAGGTTAGGCGCGTCCTGGGAGTTCTGCACCTTCAGTCTTACAGCGCCAGATTCACATGGCATGTTACAAAGGGGATTCGACCTAGCAATTCATCACCCCGAAACCAGTACGGCCACAGTCTTGCATGATATTCCAACCGCTTGCTCACGATGAGAGTCGAAGGATAGGCGCTGTATTAGCTACTGCTGCTATACCATCGTATAGTGCATCCATATTTGCTCATTGGAATTGTCGACGTGGCAATAAAATACCGCCGCGTCCTCGTCGATGCACTCAACTCTCCGTTTATCACTTCATTAGGTGTATTTCATGCGCCTGCCTCGGGAGCAGGAGCAGGAGCTCTCTAACAACGGTTTTCATGGCGTCTACACCCTACCAAGGTATATTTGTGCTTCAGAAGCTATCTGAAAAGTAAGGGAAACTTCATTATCAGCTAGCGCTTCTTTTTTGACGTTTTCTTCCTTGGACGCAAAACCCTTGCCGTCCGTTCACGTAGTAAAGGGAACCTTCATGCACTTTCCAGTCATAAAGGACAAAAACCATTGGGTAGCGAATGGCTTTCCATAGTCCAAAGCATTGCCTAGGCCTTTGATGTTGTCCTTCCTATCACAATCCATGTCTGCGTTTGGTCCTTTGCTCCTATACGATAAATATACGAAGACCTTATCTTTTTTCCATCCGGCCTGCGCATTGCTGACTAGAGAGTGTACCCGGCACTGCAATGGCACGCACTGGCAGGGCTAGCGGTAACTCTCCGCGCGGAACAGCCCGCACGAAGAACATTGCGAATTTTTACCCGCAACAACCCTCAATACACCACTTACCTCTTTAGCACTGCTGGAGGAGCACCCTTTCCTCCGCACGGCCGTGGTCAACTCCCCTAATCCCCTCTTACAAAACGCGCGGCGAAAGCGGCACAAGGTGGAAGCGCCCGCACCTTCCTTTGTTCCGTTCACATTATCTGTCATCCCTCCTACATCCTACAGAGTCCCTCAGTCATCACTAGAGCGATGCCGCTCTAGTTGCGATTTAATTCATACCCCAATGCATGTACGTCAAACTCGTAATCTCGCTTGACCCGCCGCTTTCATGTCTGCGTGTCTGTCTGCCTGTCTGTCTGTATGCATCTGTGCATGGATGCCTGCATGCACGTGGGCACGAATGCATGCACGTGTCCCGCACATGTCCCGCACATGCACCTGTATCTACAGCGTGGCGGAGATGGAAGACGAGGCGACATTGCATTTGGAGACCCCCCTCCTGGCGGGAGGTGAAAGCTACGAATTCGCGGCGATTGCGAACCTGGACCTCTTCTTCGCTCGCGTGTACAGGTGCGTATGTACGTATGTACGCGTGTGTGTGTATGTGTGTATGTGTATGTGCGTGTGTGTGCTTGTGCGCTAGCTAACTGCCGAGTAACTAACCCTTTGTTCCGGCCGCTTTGTCCTCCCCCCCCTTTTCCAAACGCATCCTTGACTTCTGCACATGCTCCCCTTCCAACATACGATTTCTCCCCCGCTTAGTCGTTGATACTGTAAATATTGTTACTGTTGCTTTGTAAAAGTGTTGCACATACCTTGCAGTCAACTTCCCCCCTCCGTTTTCCCCCGTCTCCCCCGTCTCCTCACACACATACACACACGGGGCAGATATTGGCACGAACGCGGCCTGAGCTCCATCTTGTTGGCCGGGGCCCTCAACCTCCTCGCCCTCTCCTCCACCGCCGCATTCTCCACCTTCCTGCTGCTCTTTGTCGACTGGCGAGCGCTGCATGCCGAGTGCCTGGCACCGCGGGCCGCCGGCGGCGGCGGCGGCGATTGCGACCTTGCGGCTGTGGCGCTGGACCGCCGGCCGCTGTTGGGACGGGGCGTGGCGTCGGACATGCTGGCAGTGTCGTACATTGCCGTATGCGTGGTGTACCTTGGCTGGACGGCGGCGCATTACGTGATGGATGTACGGGACATGCGGGAGGTGTCGCACTTCATGGCCAGCAAGTTGGGCATTAGCGAGGGCAAGGTATGTATGTGCGTATGTATGGATGTACGTGTGCGGACAGATGCATGTTATGTATGTATATATGTGTGGATAGATGTGGAGGAATGATTGGGTGAGGAGGGTGTGAAATGGCTGTGGGTGGGTTGGGGGACATGGAAGAGGGTATTGGGGGTGCAGGGGTTTGTGTGTGTGTGTGTGTGTGTGTGTGTGTGTGTGTGTGTGTGTGTGTGCTTCCCAATTGTTACTAATTTATATGCTCATCTGCTGCTGGGCTGTTTAGCTGCTCCTCAGAGGGGTGGAAGGGGGGAACGCACGGTAGGGGTTTGAGTTGGGAACGTGTATGGGGGCCGGGGGAAAGGCTTGCGCGTATGCATGTATGTAGGAGTACTCGTTCTGTTGGGAAGGGACATCGCCGCAGTGTGTGTGTGTGTGTATGTGTATGTGTCTGCGTGGGGCGGTGGGGCGGTGGCCAAGTGGGCATGTCTTTAGACTGGATAATGCCCCAGTCGCCTGACGACGTGTCGGTCACAATTCAACACAGCACGCACATACGTATGTATGTATGTATGTCCACTCTCGTCCAGGTGGTCACTATGACCTGGGCCGAGGTGGTTCATCGGTTAGTTCTCGTACAACGAACTACTCGGTTGTGCATCGCGAGAGATCTGGACGAGCTGCACATCGTGTCGAGGATTATGCGGAAGGTGAGGCGGCGGTTAGAAGCGGTTAAAAGAGGTTGATGCGGATATGTACGGCGCTTGCATTAGGGAGTAAAGTGATGGGGGGCGGGTTTTGGGGGTCCACCCACCCACCCACCCACCCTGCCTCCCCCCCTCTTCTAGTTTAGGACTCACGAGGTAGTTCCAAACTTTGGACGACCCCGGGTGTTTATTTCCGGTTTCCTGGCACCATATGATGGTCCCACTTCCCTCCCCCTCCCCCTTTGTTGTCAAACCACATTCTTGGTCTACCCGGGAGTATCCGTCTTTTTTGGTGTTTTCTTTTCGTTATTCGTCTGCCCGTGGTCGTACCCCTCTCCCCCCCCCGCCCGGGCCGCGTCGCATACACACACCGGACACACGCACGCGCGCACTTGACCTGGCTGACCTAGCCGTCCTCGTTCCCCCTCGTCCCCCCTCGTCCCCTCGCCCCGCAGCTCCTGTTTCCTTACGCCGCTGTCAACTGGCGGCACGTAATGGTGTTTTTTGGGTTTTTTAGGGCCATGTTTGGGCCCCCCTCCACACACACATACCCCTCCGTACACCCCCACCCCCACCCGCACACCCGTCCCTCCCCACCCCCCGTTCCCCCCGCAGGATAATTACCTGATCGCGATGATCAACCGAAACGTACTGCAGCTGCACCTCCAGCCACCTGCCGACGCACCCCTGGCCGTACAGCGAGTCCTGGGCGCCGTACTGCGGCTTTTTGGTGGCGGGGGGCCCAGCAGGGGGGGTGGGTCGGCAGGCGGCGGCGGTGGCGGCGGCGGCGGTGCTGGCTGCTGTGGCGGGCGCTTGCTGACCAAGACTCTGGAGTGGAACCTGCGGTGGTGCGTGTTGGACCACATGTTCGATGACCGGTTCCGAATACGACCTGAGTTTTCGGATGTGGCTGCTCTGAAGCGCCGTAAGTCGGGATCTGTGTGTGTGTCTCTGTCTGTCTGTCTGTCTGTCTGTCTGTCTGTCTGTCTGTCTTTCCAATTAATTCTTTTGTTTGGCAGAGAAGGATGGAGAGATTGAGGCCGTGTATGTATGTGCGTATATATGTGCGTGCGCATGTGTATGTGTATGTGTGTTTTCGAACGTACGACCACCAAACACACACCCTCCTAAACACACACGTGTCACCAAAACCCAAAGTACTTCCCCTCTCCTCCCCCTCCTTTCCCTCGCATTATTGCACAGGTCTGCGGGCGGTCGCGTGCGCCAATGTGTTGCTGTCCCCCTTCCTGTTCATGTTCCTGCTGGCCTACTTCTTCATGCGCAATGCGGAGCGGCTCTACCACCACCCGGGGGCGCTGGGCTCCAGGCGCTGGTCGGGACTGGCCCAGTGGAGGATACGAGAGCTCAATGAGCTGCCGCACTACCTTCACCACAGGTGGGAGGGGGGCACACTCACACCCGCAAACAAACACACACAACAACACATACACATACACACAAACACACAACAACAACACGCCGCTCACGAATACGCGACCCTGGCAGGTTGAATGCAAGTCACCCCGCGGCGCTGCGCTACGTGGCACAGTTCCCGTCGTACACGCTGGCGGCACTTGCCCGGTTTCTGGTCTTCGCAACGTGAGTTGTTGTTAGGGATGAGAGCGGTTAGGGACGGAGGTCAGGCAGGGACGTCATGGGAGCAGACGGGGGAGAAGGGGGGGGGGTCGAACCGCACGTGTGTTTTTGTGTGTTTGCATGCGATGTGTACGGCGATGTGTAGAACCCATGGCCCCCGTGGACGTGTTTTGTCACGCGGGCGACACAAGCTCCACGCTTTCCCTCCCCCCTCCTCAGTTGTCTGCTACCGTCCTGTACATCGGCCGTAGCACTCTTTTTTTCTTGGCAGCAGCTTTACTCGCTCGTGGTTTTCGTCTCTCCCCCGCCCCTCCCCCACCCCACCCACACACACACACCTCTCCCCTCTCTCGCACCCAACCTATTCCGCTTCCTCAACCTCCATCCGAAACCAGCCTCACGTCATTGGTCCGTTTCCTTGTAACTTATTGCTGCCCCGT